TTTGGATTGGTTTTTTTTTTTTTTTTTTTTTTACTTTGTATAACACCTCTCCTATATGGAATCCATACAGATCTTTTCATTCTTGTCTTCTTCTTTTTTCTGCATCTTGATGGAATATCCTAATATACAAGCTACTTCCCTTGGACGCAATCCGACCGCCTACACATTCCCATGTCTACTTTTGAAACAGAACTCAACACGTGGGCGCATTAACATCGACTCTCCTAATTACACAACCGAAACTATTGGAAATGTTTTTCGAAGCATCCACTCCACGCCACCACAGCCACCATCGACCTATGAAGAAGTGGAAGCGCCAGCAGCTTCAAGCAAAAACTTCGCAGCGGCCTCGGCATCAGTTCCATAAGTAACATGGGCCATGACATTTCCTCCGTTCAAGCAGACCGGGTCACCAAGGTGACAGAACTCCTTAACCTTGTCACTGGCAACCTTGCCGACGCCCTGGGCCTTGAGTGGGTCACCGAAAAGAACGGCGGCGGTAATCTGGTTTGCGTCAAGGCTGTTGGCAGCATTGTGGACGACCATCGCACCCTGGGAGTATCCGCCCAGCAAGACCTTAGTCTTAGGACACTGGCTCAGGGCCTGCTTCACCAACTTGGCCATGGCGGGGCCGCCGGCTGCGCCCATAACTGCGTTGCCCTGTTTGAATGGAGTGTTAGTTGATTAGTCGACAGGCCCGGTTTATTGATCTCGACAGCAGTCCACAAAACCGAGTGAAGTGTGCTGAAGAGAGGGAAAGGGGCTCTCATACCGCTGCATCCGCCGGGTATGTCACACCCTGCACAGTGACCTTGTTGCCGGTCAGGGAGTTCAACTGCTTGGCGACCGGGGGTCCAACGACGGTGCCCATGTTACCCATCTCGCTAGTTCCGCGTGCAAAAATGAAGGTGTACTCCTTGCAGCCGTCATTCTGGGTCGCACCGTTCTCGGTCGAAGAGCCTGAGCCTAGAGATTGACTTTAGCATTGGGGTTTCATATGCTTAAGTAGTTAAGGGGTATTACCAAAACCGGGGATGCTGAGGCCACTGCCTGACGAGATGTCGGAGCCGGTGTTGGAGATTGAGCGTGCTGGGATGAGAGACCCTAGACCATCCAATCCACTGCCAGACGAGCTGTCGGAGCCGCTACCGGACCCCGAGAGTCCTGGGATGAGAGACTTCCAGGCGTCCAGTCCACTGCCGGTCGGAGTGCCGGAGCCGCTGCCGGAGAGTCCTGGGATGAGAGACTTCAGGGCATCCAATCCAGTGCCGGTACCACTGCCAGAACCGAAGCCGGGTAGCTGGCGGTTCTCGATGGTGGGAGTGGGAGCCGCCATGGCAACACTAGCCAAGGCGAGGATGATAGTAGACTTCATATTGAAACGAGGGGATTTATATAAAGAATGGACCTGAGAGACCTGCTCAACAGTGTAGATTAAGTAAAAGAATGGGGGACTGGAGTGAATGAACGGGAGACTGGAGAGGGATTTAGTTTTATATCCTTGAATTCTTTATTCGCCTGCTTGGTCCTCATAGTCGGGGGTTCGGGCTAACCTCGGAAGGATCCCATTCTTGGACAATGTCTTAGGCTAAGAATTTAGTGAAACGGATACTCTGTTTCATCCCGGGACCTCCTGCGGGATATACTTTTCCTTATGGGGTATACTAGTTGGAGAACACACGGAGTAGCCAAGAGATCTTCAATAGATCCCGGGTCTTATGTACTCGATCTCAACCTGTAGATATTCAAAAAGCGAATTTTGTTTTAACCCATGGCTCTGGTTTCTACAGTCATCATCTCTGAGACATCTTCAGTTGAGGCATCTATCTATGCACTATATGTGAATATGTGACAGATCTAGCACAAAAGTCCTGAGACACAGGATTTTAGCGTTTGAGTTAAATGAAGTCGAAGCTTTGGAATGTTCTCAAAAATGGTCAGTACCAAATCGGGAACTTTAGCCGTTCAGCCATAAAATGGGGTTTGAGACAACTAAAAAAGATGTGGAGAATACTCGAATCAGAACGAGGAACTCCCAGTGGGACCTGGCCAGGCGCAACCCCCTGATATGCAAACACTGTACGGAGTACGGAGTACTATGCTGTATAGAGTATGCTGTACGCAGTTTCATCCAGAGAAGAGGAATATGTGTAGAATTTCTTAGAATGCCGAAACCTCGGCTATAGTACAACGGTATATGTGGTACATTAGTATAGTACAAAATGGCTCGTCAAAGAGGACAATGTGATATACAATGGCTAGTGGAGCCGGCAAGTATCTACTTCCTCAACTTTAGGTGATACGTCTTCAATGCCTCCTCGGTCATGGGACTCGGGGCTCCAACCATGGCATCGTCGCCCCCCTTTCCAGTCTTCGGGAAAGCGATCACATCACGCACGGATTCCTTGCCAAGCATAACAGCGACGAGTCTGTCGAAGCCCAGCGCAAGACCAGCGTGCGGCGGACAGCCAGAGCGGAGGGCATCGAGCAGATGCGAAAAGTCGGTCAACCGTTCAGCTGGCATTTTCAAGATATCACGGAAGATGAATTCCTGCACTGCTGCGTCGTGGATACGACGACTACCACCGCCTAGCTCGACGCCGTTCACGACAAGGTCGTAGTGGTCAGCCACCACCTTGGTGGGGTCTGTGAGGAGGAGGTCGACGTCAGCTGGGGACTTGGGTGCGGTGAAGGGGTGGTGTGTGGAGGAGAGGCCTGCTGCGCCGCCCTGGCCGGGCTCGGAGTCTGAGGAGGGGGAGAAGAGTGGGAAGTCGACGACCCAGAGGAAGTCGAATCCGGTCGGAGCGGGCTTGAAGCCTGCCGTGACCGAGGCAGCGTGTAGTGCACGGCGTAGATCGCCAACGGGGGTTGAACCCCCGGAGAAAGGAGCACGGGGGCGGGCCTGTAGAATAATCAGGTCACCGTGGTCAGGGTCCAGCAGTTCCTCGACCTGCTCAGCGGCTTCAAAGCCGAAGGGCTGTAGTCCGCAGAGCGGCTGCTTGCCATTGTAGATGAAGACGCCTGGGCCACCGTCTGGGTTATTGTTGAACGGCGCACCCGCAGCGGAGTCGAGGAACTGGGCAATGAACTTGTTAGTTTGAGCAGGATCGTTGTCATTTCCTTCAAGCTTGAAAGCTTCCACGATGGGATTGCTCAGGTCAGAGATCTTGCTGACTAGATCCACCGGGAGAACATGATCAAGTCGAATGATTTCCATCCCATATCTCGTGTCCGGCTTGTCAGAGCCATATTTGGCCATAACTTCTTGGTAGGGTACTTTGCGGAATGGGCCCTCCGGGGCAGGGTCTTTCATCAAAGACGACCAGAGTCGGCGAATGACCCCTTCCACGGTGCGCATGACATCGTCGCCTGTCGCGAAAGACATCTCCATATCAAGCTGTAGATATCCAATTAGCATATATTGCCCAAGCAAGAATATAGAATCCATACCTGAGTAAACTCGGGCTGACGATCTGCACGCAAATCCTCATCGCGGAAGCAGCGCGCAAACTGATAATACCTTGGCAAGCCACTAGCCATGAGAATCTGCTTATACTGCTGCGGGCTCTGCGGCAAAGCATAAGCCAGCCCCTCCCTCCGTGTAGGTACTATGAACTCTCGTGCACCTTCCGGCGTAGACTTGAATAACAGCGGAGTCTCAATCTCCACGAATGCCGGCCGACACTGCTCCAGCTCTTTCTTGCAAAGATTGTGCGCGCAGGCGCGGAAGCGCAATGCTTCGCGCAGCTCTGCATCTGAGCGCAGTTGCAGGTATCGTTGCTCAGGTGGGAACACCGTTTCAGGCGTCATTATAAGCTCCTTGGGGAAGTCGTTGAGGGGGTGAATTTCTTCCAACGCGAGCTCCCATAGGTCCTGTGCTGGTGAGCTTTCCGCCTCTGATGGCTTGGTCTTTTTCTTTTGAACTGTCCCGCGTACGGCCACGGGGCTGTTCGCGTTCACGGTCTTTAGCTGCTCAAAGGCATCGTTCTTGGCGAATGCTACAACTTGTAGGCTGTGTTGCAGGGTGGGATCGGATAAGCGCACGAATGATAGTTTCTTGGACAGGTCTGCGCGGTTTCCGAGGTACCCATGTAGCACTACTTCCGTATTTGGCTCAGCCTGTGTGAAGAAGGTTTCGAAGTCGTGGGTGGCAGGAGGGAAGTCGACTGTCGGGCATCATGTATTAGTCAAAGCCCTCTCAAACTTGGCCAAGCCCAAGCTTTTCAGTACGAGGTTTCCACATACCAGCCCGCTTGTAAGCCTTCAGAAAAGCAGGAAGCTGTTTAGGAGGCTCCTCCTGTCGCAAACAAGCCCGAGCATGGAACTGCCGCGGCGCCTGAACGAGGCTATAGCATTGTCTGGGCCAAACAGCGGGTCGACCTCGCAGGAGATTCGAGATCTCAATGTAGCTAGATCTCAACCGCAAAGTGTGGAGCTGCGCGGCAGCCATTGGCATATTTCAATTGTCGTGAATGCAATTGCAGCCAAACCGGAAGAATGCGAGTCATGTCAGGACAACCTGATCATTAAAACCGGCAGAAAGCCACCCCGCCCTAGAAGCGGACTAGCGCCCGCAGAAATAAAAAGCGCGGGATTTTCGTCCGTTTTTCTTTTCTTCTTCATCCTTCCAAGTTTTATACTTGTGAGTATTCCTGTTCCCAGCCTATTTCAATTGGAGTTACCTTTTTGATTGTTGTACTGACTATTTCTCAGAATGATGAAAGCCTAGTGTGTTATATATGAGACAGTCTCTGCCCTCTGAGACGTGCGGCTCTCTCTCTTCGGGGAGCTTAAGGGCTGTACGAATCGAGGGTAGGGTATGTGATATATGCGTTCGGCATACCAACCTTGTTTACTTGACGGACGCGATGAAGGCATCTCTGATCCTATTCACAAGACTTGAAGGTGTAATCATTGGCTTTGGGCCATGTTTTGAGGGTCCTTTGAAGCTGGGAGAGATGGATGTTGGACGGGGGTTGGCATATGACGCCTTGATGTCCAAGGTCCGCTCTTTCGGCTCTTATATTGGATCTAGCTAGCTATACTTTGGCCTCGGGGACTTGTTCCTATGCCTGCGCTATCCTCGGCAGTGGGGTTATAGCAGAGGTCAATAGTCTCAGGCATACTTGCCCCGGTCACTATTGACTCTATAACCCCACTTATGAGAAGACAGCAGAAATTTCAGGAAATACCAGGACTTGACCAACATCTCCCATGTATATCTTGTGTTTGACATAGTAGCACTAAAGGTACCTCTATAAGGACCGCCTAAATTCAATATTCATAACCATCTGGCTCTTCATGCAAGGTTAAATTTCGAATCGCATCAACGTATTTTGATAAGCTGACTTTTTCCCAGCCTCAAGTAATCTATAACAAAAGAAACAAAATACTAATCCAGTCCCCTAATAGCATATGTCGTTTTTAACGCTTTTTCATGCGAAGATCATTTTCTCCAACACCTCCTTCTCCCCGCTATTCTCAACAAGATTCTTGAACACCCCCCCCTCAATCCCCATAAGATCCCTAGGCGTGCCAAACTCAGCCGCCTTCCCAGCATCCATAACAAGAATGCGATCGAAGTCCGCAATAGTGCTAAGCCGGTGCGCAATGACTAGCAGCGTGGTAGCATTGCGACCGAATTCCGCACGGATAGACGTCTGGATCAACGCATCGGTCTCCATATCGACAGCCGAGGTTGCCTCGTCTAGAACCATAATCTTGGGCCGCGAGACGATGGCACGGGCAAGACAGAGGAGCTGGCGCTGACCCTGGGAGAGGTTGAGGCCACCCTCAGAGATGGTCGCAGAGAGAGAGGTGAAAGCATTAGCATTGGTCTTCCGGACCGTCGCTGGTGTAGTGGCGCCTGTTTCGCTAGGCTGGCGGGGCGTGGCAGTCCGTGACGTGAGGGTGAGCTCGTCGTCGTCGGCCTTGGAGATGAGGTGCACGCGTGCTAGCGCATCGTAGAGCTCTGTATCACTGTATTCGTCGAACGGGTCTAGATTCGATCGCACCGTGCCGGAAAATAACACTGGGTCTTGCGGGATGATTGCAAGTCGGCTGCGGAGGTCGTGCAGTTTGATCTTGGAGACATCGAGTCCGTCGATGAAGATCTGGCCAGAGCGTGCCTCCAGGAATCGGAAGAGTGCAAGTGTCAGAGAGGACTTGCCTGCCCCTGTCCGTCCAACGACGCCTACGCGCTGGTTCTTCTCTACCGAGAAGCTGAGCCCGTTCAATACCGGTGGGAGATCCGGTGCGTAGCCCACCACAAGATCGTGGACTTCGAGATGGCCCTCTGTAGGCCAAGCCGCGGGTGCATCGGCTCCTCCTTGGTTCTCGATCTCGATATTAGAATACTCGATGACACGCTCTGTGGCATTCATGTTCAATTCAATATTAGCGTATTGCCGCAGTGCCATCGTGATCGCAGCGTTATACTGCAGCGCAAAGCTGAGAGCGAAACCGGCAAGTGAAGCGCTGATACCTGGTAGATAGACGACTAGCCCAGCAGTGACAGTTGAGAAGATAGCGCCGACGATACTCATGCGGAACGCGAGCCAGCGGTTGAACAGCCACAAGGTCCACCATGCTTGTGCGTGGCGATTGATCTTGTTGTACATGATTTCGACGTAGGTTTCTGGTTTGCTGAAGGCACGAATGGTGATCAGGCCAGCGAGACTAGACCCAAACTGCTCAAACACAGGGCTTTTCGCAGTGCTCTCAAGACGTTTGATTTGACGGGCACCTGCCAAATAGGACAGGGCCAGTTTTAGACATATGAGCAACAGGACCACGCCGAGTAGGATCACCATCCAGTTGACAAGCATACCCGCAACCATGATTGCGCAAACCTCTAGTACCTTGCCCACGAAGAACCCGATGTCGTATCCGATTCGTGAATCGATTGAGTGGAAGTCGGCTGTGAAGCGGTTGAGAATTCGTCCCAATGGGACAGTGTCCAGCCACCGGAGTGGCGCGCGGAGGATAGTATAAATCAAGCCATTGAATAGGTTCCTCGAGGCCCGGACTGATGCCGAAAGAATGCAGTAGTAACGGACTGTTCCGACTATACAGGCAGTGATCGAGATAGCAACATAGATTCCGAGGTACATCAAGAGGCCATCATGTTGTGTGACCGCTGTGGTCGTCGGTTGCATCGCATGCTGCAATAGGATACTGTACTGCTCAGGGTGGGCCTGGGTATTGGAGGATGAACGTGTCCAAATATTGATCCACCAAGACTTGTGAAAAATAACGATTAGACAAAGGATATAGACAATATGAGACTGTCTTGGGATTCTATGCACTTACCCGTCCAACCAAGAGGGACGAAAACATTAAATAGACTGCGAGCGTCACCAACCAATAGACCACGGATCCACCTTTATTCAAGAAAGCAAGGTAAACAGCTAGCCGCACAGAACCGGTTTCTCGTTTTTCGTCTTCAACAAACTTCTTCGGTGTAGGCGTCTGCCGTGCAGTAGCAATTCCATTTCCGTTGGAAGCTTGGCCATTTGTAGCCGTGCTCGGGTTGTGGTGGGATGTATTCGAGATCACCTTTTGGAGAGTTGTCTCCTCATCATTGAGAAATTCACGGTCTTGTCCATCTGCGACAATATCTGCTTGTTCTGCGGCTTGTTCCTCGCGAAGGATATCCTCTAGCTGATGTGATTCCTTCAGATCATCGATGGTACCTGCATATTTGATACGGCCATTCTCCAACAGCACAGAGTAGTCCGTGCGGGGAAGGCACAGTGCAACATGGTGAGTGACCAAAATGCGAGTTCGATTCTTACCTAGTTCCCCGGTGAGAGCGTGCTCAAAGACGTGGCGACCTGTGTGGGCATCGAGAGCGCTGAAGATGTCATCCATGATAAGTATGCCAGCCCTAGAGTACAATGCGCGGGCGAAGGAGATACGCCAGCGTTGGCCACCGCTCAGATTGACACCATTCGCACCAATATCGGTCATGTCGCCGTCTGGCAGCATCTCGAAATCTTTTTCCAGGGCACAAGCAAAGATGACCTTTCGGTAACGCTCTGCATCGTCCGGGAGTCCAAAGAGAACGTTCGCTTTGATTGTAGCATTTTCGATCCATGGCATCTGCGCAACATACGCAATGGCCGAGTCGATAATCCAATCCGCCTTTGTCGCAAGGTGATCAAATCGGTCTGTAATGGGAGGTGGAACGGGTACCTTGATCGTCCCGGCGAGGACATCACATTCACCCAGGATTGAGGAGAGAAGCAGGCTCTTTCCAGATCCAGTTCTGCCGGATACCACGCTTAGACACTTCGTCGGAAATTTCAAGGTCATGTCACGCAGAATGAAACGATCCTCGGAATCTTGGATATCTTCCTCCTCCGCAGGCCATGCAACAGAGGCGTCCTCAAAAGCGATGTACTCAGCAGGGACAGTATTGACAGAATTTTCGGAAGTAGCCAAAAATTTGTCGATACGTTCCGAGCTAACCTTCGCTTCCAGACCCATCGACATAAGTTCTGGTATAATAGCGAGCGAAGCCTCGAGAGAATTGAAGATTGCCATAGCTGTGAAAGCTACAGAAGCGGACAAAGTACCATTGATAACGGCGTATGTGGTCAACGAAACGGCAGACAAGCCGACGGGACCGAGAACCCAGATCGCAAGTAGGCCAATATCAGCAATGAAAGAAGCCCACAATGCGGCAAGTTCGGTTTCTCGCGTCTCCCGGACACGCTTCTGCCATTGCTCCTCCAGAGCCGAGAATTTGATTTGCCTGATTCCCTGCAGCACTTCGGTAACAATCGCCAGCTTCTGGTCACGGAATTTCATCAACTGGTCCTGGGCATTCGAATACTTTTTAGCTGCGTATATATTCAGTGGTGTCACAAGAAGAGAGACTGAAAGACCGGCAAAGGCACTGCGCCAGCCGAGAATTTGGACCAGAAAGGCGGCACCGATAATGATTCTAAAGGTCGCCTGTGGGATAATGTAGTTGAAAGAGGCAAAGTCGGAAACGCGCCGAGCATCCACGGCCACATGGTTGATAATACTCTGGCGGCTCTTCTTCAACGCATCCTCGTCATCCTCGTCGGCATCTGCGGATCCTTTGCTGGAATTATCGGATTGAGCTGACGTGTTGGACTTCTTCGTATGCTTCACATCCTTCCGGCGCATAGCTTTGGCAAATATCACCGCTGACAGCTCTGAGTAGATCGGAACTCCAAGCTTAGAGTAGACCACCCAGAACAGCCATGCCTCCACGCTCGAGGCAAGGAACAACAACCCACCCAGGGCTAGGACCCAGATATACGATGCTCCGACATTCCAATCCGGGGTACCACGCAGTTCGAGCGTTCTCAAAATCTGAAACAGAGCGACCTGCGGCCCAAAGCTCAGAAAGCAAATCACCAAACTAAGCATCGTCTGGGCGATCAGTGCCCCCAAATGAGCAGCGACGATCGCTATCCATAATTTCCGGTTCTGTCTGGCAATTTCGAATTTCTCCCGGAGAGAATCAGCACGCTTCGATGCTGTAAGCCTAGGGATATCCTCGAGGTCCATGGTATTATGCTTCACCGCGTAGTCTAGCAATCCATTGGCCCAGCTGAAAGTGAAGCGGCTAAGTAGGGAGACTGAAAGCTCCCGCTCAACCAGTTTATCTTCAAAGTAGACATCTGGACGCCGCGGTATCAGAACACAGAATACGGCGCGAAGCGCAGCGCTAGCAATTTGAGCCAATTGCAGCCCGACCCAGACTCGCCCATGAGGAAGGCCGAGTTGAGAGAATACCAAGATGCCCAGTTCAGTTCCCGGAACCGCAGTGGCAACAATACTCCCCCAGAAAGCGAAGTGGCTGAGAACATATCGGCTTGTCGGTCGGGGCTCGGTAAAGAAAGCAACAGCTTGAACAGCGAGCAAAATCTAGAAAATATTAAACTTGTTGATACTCTTTGTCGGGCTTTTCACGTACCCATACTCCAAACTGCAGCCATATCAATGGCGTGGAATTGGTAATGGCAAGCTTCGATGTCGCAAGAACAGCCAATGCGAGAGTCACCAGAAAACCGGCAATGGAGAACAGGGCAATAGCGATTCTCTGCCATTTATCAGAGAATTCTCGGAGGGATTCCTCGGTCGCTTCGCCATCTTCATCGTGATAAACATGTTTGGCTAGTTGGATGGGCTCATAATCACGCGATTTCCGTGCAATGCGGGCGATACTGTGGAGGGCAGGTATACTGTCCAAAGCAACTAGCGACAAGGCCAGATAGGTAGATGTCGCCAAGTAGGTCATTCTTTTCCGCTCGACACGAAAAAGAAAGAAGAAAGAAGGACAGAAAAAGAAATGTCAAGGCGCCACCAGCCCCCAACTATAGCGAATACGCTTGTGCATGGTAGCGCGAGCTATAGTGACATCGAGCGGGGGAGGAGGCAATAGACCGATCTTAGACCGCCGGTGACTCAAAGCCCTCGCAGTCATAATGTATATTAACTGTCAGATCAATTTCCCTCTAGGGCGGTTGAGTCACACGCATGCACTATACTGTGCAGACCTCGTGTTCACTGAATCATCCCTGTAGAAGCTAACTCCGACATCCGACCTCCGAGACTGGGGGCATTGCGTCTTCCAATGGTGTGCGGGATAGCATGTCCTGTACGGAGTAAGCGCTAAGCACTTAAGACAATCGCTGACATTCCACTCTTGGAATTCAAGGAAAATTCGCAAGTCCCCACTTGTATAGCTTGTATCCATCTAATGTCCATCTAATGCAGGACCGGCCTCCACCCGCGCCTCGGCACAAACTTTTCCACGGCCTCGTCATCCAAGACATCGCGCGCCAATCGCGCTGTAATAATGCTCCGCTCAGTCTCCGGTCCGTGCACGTAAAACGGCTCGAACCCTCCGGCGGGTTTGGGGGTCCACGTTCTTTTCTTGCTTTTTTCTTTCGGCCCTTCACTTTGATTTACCGTGGTCGGCTCAAATCCAGAAGATTCCCGGTCCAGACTGAGAAACCATCGCCGTTGGTGGATCGAGCCGATCGTGTTGCTGGACCCTGGGTAGGCGTTGTTTCTTTGAATTTCGATGTCGGCGGTGTAGGTATCATCTGCATCTGCATGCTTAGCCAGGCCTGTTTGAGATTCCGATTGAGATCGCTGTATTGTTTGATTCCCCCTCGATTCTTCTGTACCAGGTGGCGGCGAAGGGGATCCCGAATCCGAGGTGGACGGCGCTTGTGGCAGCGTTGGCCTGGATGGGTGTCGACGACGCCGTCTGCGGCCCTCGCGGATCGGCCTGGCGAAATCGGTTGTCTTGTCCATCCGCAGAGTAATAGTGTAGTCTTTTGGCAAACGGGTTCCGTGCAGCCGGAGTCGGATTTTGCGCTTGGTGTCTTAGTGTTAGAGAACTAAGCCCATTGTCTCCATGTTGTACAAGATACCTACATTCTGAAAAGCTTCTCGCAACTTCGCACTATCTGAGATCGGCTCTTTCGGTAAATCCTGACTATCTTCGGACATCTCTGATCGAGCATCATCGGTCTCCGGGCCAGATGGGTCCATTCGATAAGGTAGAATTTCATATTCTCCAGTATCCCAAATAATTAGGCTCCCCGTTTCTTGGGAAGCTGTTTCAATGAGATGGTTCTGTGAAGATGTAAGTTTGCTATTTATTGTACCTTCTCATGCCAGATCACAAACCCACCCATAAACAATGGATCCGAGTTTCAGTTGCATTCCGGTTTAGTCGCTGGCTATTCGGATCCCCAGGCATCCCATACATAACCGACCAACTGACAGAGCTGGTCTCTGAGAACTGGAGGCGGAGATCATAATGCGGCCCTGCGATGGGATGGTCATGTTGATGGATGACGAAATGGTGCCCTTCTGGGTGCTCATTGCGTCTGTACAGCTCGATCCAATCCTTGATTGGCAGCCGCGGTATTGGCTGTTTTGGAAGTGGGCGAACACATTCTTTGAGCCTCGCGGAAATTGTGCTCAGATGGTCGGTCACTTCAACCTGACCTGCTTCGATGGCAGCGAGGCTGGATGAAGTGTTTAGTTGTGATGCATCAAGTGGGATAGCGTCTCCTCCATCTCCATCCTTTACCCATTTGATGGATGATCTTTTTCGTGGCGGAGAGACAGGTGCATTTAAGCTTAATAGAATTGGGCGCTCTTCATCTAGCGGAATCCCTTTTTTCAGCTCATGTTTGCTGGTTTCTGGGCTGCAGGCGCGTTTCATGATTGAAGTATCTGGGCGGATGTGTGTCGCGGCTAGTATCAAGCGAGAGTTGCAGCCGTGACATGCATCATTGCATTAGTTAGATTCATGTACTACCTGTATGGCTTTTATAGATGGAGAGTTGAGTAGATGTCCTGGGCCCCAGGGTCGCGGATGGCTTAGTAACAAGCTTGACTTCCAACCTTGGAAACTTCGCACCTTGTAGTCGTTGATATACATAGCACCAGTCTTCGCGATTCTAACTATGTTTAACTTGAGCTGATTTATTGTAGAGGTGACCTTAACCGAGTTATCCGTTTCTTCCAAGTCACCTTGATGTGTGAGCGCTTCCCTTATATATAAAAACAAGGCCAGGCTTATAGTATCCTGAGGTCCATTTTGGATGGATGCATCAGATTGCAGGTCAAGGCCGGCCACAGAGAAACAAGAATTAAACCAATTCGTTTCAATTCAACTACATGCCCACATGAAATATGATAAAATCAATACCAACAAAACTGTATCACAGTGCGCGCTCTCGTGTCAATAAGACATGAATCTGGCGGCGGATCTCTCCCCAAGCAACCCTAATTGTGAGAATTGATAATGGGATTAACTGCCACACTCTGCGGGTTGTGGAAGACATCCTTCGGATCAACAAGAGTCTTAATAGTTTGGAGCCGTTCAAGATTGGATCCCCAGTAGGCCATCTGGCCATTCTTGAGGTAAGGATCAACATATCCTGGATAGGAACGCAGAGGGCCGGGCGGTCGATTTTCTATCACAACTTGATGCAAGCGATCGAGGAGCGTCCTAGCAATGAATGCAGGCGGATCGAAGCCGACAACAGCATAGGATTGCATCCACATGACAGCGTCACGGTGAACATAGGCCGTGGCATTCATGGGAACATCATTGGTTGCGCCACCTTCCAGGTCGAAAATAACCCACCAGTTCTGAGTACCCTTCGGTGCAGATTCGAGATATGTAAACAATGCCACTAGGGCATGTTCGGTTAATAGCTCGTCGACGGTGAACGATACTGACTTGGAGTAGAACGAAGTGAGTAAGGCTCCGCCGATGGAGACCAGGTAATTCTCAGCCGCGTGGGCTACCAAGGCAAGCCAGTTCGTGATGTATGCCACGTTGCCCTGGTTGTGGATTGGGAGATTGTTTTCCTGCTCGAATTCATGGAACTCTTCTCTGCTTCCGAAGAAGCTGCCCGTGATGACAATACCGTCCTGGAAGATTGTGAGCTCGGTGGAATATTTCCGCGTAATATTAGGTTTTGCCACAATGGACTGCCAGGCTTGGAAGAGTTTGACTTTATCAAGTACATCCCCTTGGCTGAATGTATACGTGTATTGCACAGCGCCCTTGGGGACTTCCTGAGTGCGAACTTTGAACTGAGTAACGATGCCAAAGCTGGCGGCCGCACCCTTGATAGCCCAGAAAACGTCTTGGTTCTGCGTATCCGATGCCGTCACAATGCTGGAGTTGGCCAAGACTACTTCAGCCTCCAGCACATGATCCAGTGCAGTTCCCCATTGTCGTGACATAAGACCGAGACCACCAATGGTAAAGTGACCACCAACACCGACTTGTGGACAAGATCCATGTGCCATCGCTCTACCACCTGCATGTAGAAGACGGTCTTGGAGATCACCCAAGTTTGTACCGGCCCCAATCGTGGCAATATAGGTGTCCGGATCCATGGAGAATTTCTGGAAGTTCTTCAGGTCGACGACGACATGACCATCAGCTCCTCCTAGACCTACCATAGAAAAGTTGATTCAGCAAGGGTAGGATTTAGACCAAGAAGGGTTCATACCATAGTTGCCATAGCTGTGACCCCCACTGTAAGCTTGCACCCGGTAGTCTCCCTCGACGGCACAGCGCACAATTTCAGCGACTTGGGTCGCAGTGTTCGGATAGGTGATCACCTCAGGATGAACAGGAATGGCCTGGTTATAGGATGGCAGGGCCCGGAATCTATATAACAGATCTCCCCGGAATGTAGCCATATTAGGGTTTCCTCCCACGGCGGCCATGAAGCACTCACGGCCGGCGACGCTGGATGTGTTCCCCATTTTGGATGGAATGAAAATTGAGGATTACTTCTAACACGTTCAAGTAGAATGGAGCTGGAAAGACGACATATGCGAGATCCGTAATGACCGGTGGAACATAAGAAGGGGCTGGATTGCGACTGCTTCATGAGCGGAGAGCCTTGGCCAGGTCTTCTGCTCACTCCGATGTCTCATTTTCTCGGTGTCACACTTGTTACGTATGTCGCGATTGTCACGTTGCTAATACTCAGGAGGTCTCCTGATTCTTTAGGGTCTTTGCCTAAGTATAGTTACTCGAGTTGTCCTGTCATGCTACTGCATGCGGGAACTGGTGTGACACGACCGTGCGAATTAGTACATAAAAGCGCTTGAGATGATGAAATCGAGACTAAATGTTTGAATAGAATAGTCGGCCAATGAACCCATAATGGCCTAGGTGAATACCGAGAGACGCCGAAAGAAAATGCTCGGGGACCACTATAACTATAACGGCGACGTGAATGGTCCCCGGTCCGGAAATCCCTTGACTTGCAAGAATATAGGAACCCTACCTCAACTCCTGTCCCTTTTTCTTTTTAAAGATCGAGTGCGAGAAAATTCCCGGTTATAACAATTTTCGCCCTACGTTCGTCGGGTGTTTTATACTCCAGCTACCATAAAGCTTTCCCCATACTACACTTCCGGCGATGACATCAGGAGGAAAACTTTAAACGAATATCATGTTCACCCCAATCCATACCACACTGGGCGCGCTGTTACTATTCCACGGTTCATCCGGCCTGCTCGTACACAACGGCGCCGTCCTCGGCATATCCTCTCTCCTCTCCGGGTGCGCCTTCAACCCGAGTCGTGACAATGTGCCCATCATCGCGGGTTTGGTGTCTAGCATTGTCCCGGTGTACTTGCTGGCACCATCACTGATCCCGAGCTATCCCGCGCCGCCACATTCCTGGGCTTCTGCTGCAGCAACGTTGGGAGTAGGCTTCCTCGTAGGGTGGGGAACAAAGGTGAGGAATATCAGACATTATTGCAGAACGAAGAACAAGTTGACTAAGTGAATACAGAACGGTCGAGGCTGTTCCTCCGGACACATGCTGTGTGGCCTTTCGCGTCTCTCGCCCCGCTCGTTGATTGCAACCGCTGTCTTCTTCACAACTGCATTGCTCACGGCGAACTTTGTCGAGAGCGGATCCAACATTCCGTCTTGTGGTACGACCCCGTGCTATACAGCCGTGTATCCATCTGGGCTGGAGTTTGGCTTCATGGCTGGTGCAGCGCTGCTGGCGGCGCTCACAAACTTCATCGTTGTCCCGCGGAATGTCCGTCGGTCGGAACAATCTAGGGTCGTCTATTCCTATGTGGCAGGGTTGCAGTTTGGTCTGGGTCTTTTGATATCTGGAATGGCGGACCCAGCCAAGGTGCTCAGGTTCTTCGCCTTCTTGACTGACCCGTCCCGATTTGATCCTTCACTGGCGCTGATCATTCTATTTGGGATTGGACCATCGCTATTCACTTTCCTGGCTGAGAAACCAGGCCAAGCTGTTGAAAAGGGTAAGCCTGCTGCGAAGCCTACCCTTGCTGAGAAATGGCGACTCCCGACGGCCACTGTTAGTGACATAGATTGGCGGTTTGTTGCAGGTGCTGCGACGTTTGGACTGGCCTGGGGACTGAAAGGGGTCTGCCCAGGCCCTGCAATCCTGCGAACAGTCCTACAACCAACTTGGGGACTGATCACGATGGGTGGATACATGCTGGGCAACCTCATTTAAAGGAATGGGACATAGAAATTATAGACATTTAATTCTTCATTAGCGTTGTCGAACTTTGGCGTCGCCTCGGGGGAATAGAGTGAAATCGGTGCATGATGACGCGGGGAAAGAAGAGCTGGAAGTCCGGAAATCTCAGGAGCTGCGTCCGCGGTTTGATTAGCAAAGGAAATAATGCCATAGAATATGTACATAGTCGGTTCAACTGAGAATAGATGCCATTGGTCCGTGAATAAATGCATTGGGTATATAACAGAGGGAAAAAGGCTAGAACGGGGACAGAAAACAGAGAGTGAGTAAACGGAAGAATGGCTTACAACTCAGTCTTCCTGTCCATGCCAAGCGCTTCCAACTCAGCAGACTCGTCACTGCGTGGACTAGGGGCAGATGCATGGTCAAAATATCCTTCCAACTCCATCCACTCAGCAGCAAAGGCGGTAACTAGCATGCTCCAGTCCTCGACGGTATCCAAATCTAAATGCTCACCATCATCGTCGATTGTATGCCAAACAGGAGGGAATCCCTTGAAGGAGGCAAAGTCAATGAGATGGAGGATTTCAACACCCTTTGCGAGGAAAGGAAGGTGATCATCCTGTATGCCACCCATTGGCGACAGCTTGTGTCCATCCTTCTCGGTATCGACGAACCACGGATTAGCCGAGGCAGACTTGAATTGCTTCAATGACTTGAACCGCTTTTCAAGAGTGCCCAAGCTCTGATAAGCCCAATGGGTGGTCTCATACCAAGATTGAATTGTCGGGGATTTCGAGCCTAGCAGATCCAAAAGGACAAAAAGAGATATCGACGACAAGGGGCCCTTGAATTCCGACATCGCGGGATAGACTTGGTCGTCCCAATGTGTAGCTAGAGCACGAGCTCCGTAGAGCGAATCAGTGGCAGTCCAGTCTTGGAAGGCTTCTTCACCATCCAAGAATATAACCTGGAGACCCCGCTCCTCGTCGAGGTAGTCATATAGTCCCTGCTCCTTCAACGCGGACCATTTCTTCTCTAGCGCAGCATCGATGCTGCGCATGGCATGCATAATGATCGCACATGGTGCAGCGCTGTCGATACCCCCGATGAAGCCTTCCGGTTCTATCTTGCTATCATAATGGGCGACAAAAGTGAGCCGGCCAACGTCGCCAACCGAGGCCCAAGGAGGATCGCGAGTAGCGATGAAATTTCGGAAAGGTACCTCCTTCCCCTTTGATAGCGGTGTTTTGGCTGTAGAGTTCTGAATCTCAATTGTCCATTTGGGCAATGTGGTTCGGAAAAAGTCGGCGAAGTGATTGAGCACTGCGGTGGAGCCGGGGGTGCCAGGGACGCGGGTCCTTAGTATAGGTGACAACAGAGCGCCATTGTGAATATCGAAGTCGTTATTGGGCCGCAAAAGTTCAGTCAGTGTCTTATCTGATATTTTCTCGTATGCTTCTACACACGCTAGAAGCATTACGACGAGCCCTAGCCAAAGTGACACATTGCCGGGTGGGATACGATAAGCCGGAGACATTGTTGAAGGAAAGCTCGCGCTAGCTGCTCATGACCTGCATCAAAGCAACGATCGTGATAGAGTTCAAACCTAGTCCAGCCAGGTAACCGACGGTATTATAGGGTATGAGATCAAAGGAAAACGTGTCAAAAACTAGCAGTGGTCAACTCATCCGACAACCCCAGATAGAGCGGAAGCTAAGGCGGTCACCTTTTTGCCGAGCGATCGGCGTCGCGACGCCGATTTATTGGGGGATCGATCAAACGTCCAAATTCCAAGCCAACTACATTACACCAGACACAATGCGACTACAGATCCTACTTCACCCTCAATTACGTACAACTCTACCAGAATGTGCCCAGCGCAGTATTCGGAGGAACGTTTGGGTCCGGTTCAAGTCCCAGATCCCTCGGCCATCACAGAAGCATCTTTCACCATTACCCAAATCGAAGGAAACCCTCCCACCTACGCGTTCTCCAGTCGCAAGGACGCTCACGCCGCCAAAAACAACCACCAGGACAGGTATTGTGAACTTTCCCTCTCAGCGATTAAACGCGTGTGCTGAGTCAGAGTCGCAGGACCACCTGAACGAATCTTGGTCTATTATGGAGGAACGGGCCGAGCTATCTTTCTAGGGACACTGCGAATCACCACAGTGCTTCTATTTGGTGCAGCATGTCTAATCGTTGCACCGGCATGCTCCGTGGCTGATGATTACCCCTGGTACAGCACACCTGCGGGTAAGCTAAATTGGACATCACACCCCCTGCGCGTCTATGCTGATTTTACTTTAGTGATTGCGGCTGGCGCCCTCCCAATGCTATTTGTCTCCTATACTGCTGCGCCGTACGTGAACTTTATCCATCTGGCATTGCCCGCCTTTGCGAGGAAGTCGCGGGAAGCTGCCGTCCAGTATGCAAAAGACCTGCCCCCGACAGCCGTGCTGTATCTCACCAGCATGCGATTCAACACTATTCCCCGTCAAACGGCTGTTCGTCTGGGTGATCTCGTTCCGTTGAAGGACGCCTTGCGCCCCGTCACATTCCAAAATCTGAATCCGTCGACGCAACGATGGTGGCAGGGCAGAGCTCCAACCCAGTTCTATACTGGAACCCACAGCAAACCCGGGAGACAGACATCGGCTTTCTTCCCAGAATTGTGGAATGGAATTTACCAACAAATTCAAAAGGCCAAGTCGCAGCCTCTTTGATCCAATATATACCCGCGACTTGATGACCGGTTATGTTGATGGTCTGACGTCCACTTCTCTCAGTTGATTGATCGGCAGAGCCTAGCCTCAGGAACCTTAAATTGGACGGGAAACATCGCTCCTCTCAGCGCGAGAACTGGTGATAGCCGTTGAGGACGCGGCAATCGAAAACTTTGGTAGCTTAGCTACCAATTGATAATTGGTCACGCCAGGAGTATTTCATGACATCCATTTACCCCGGGAACTTGGATCTTTGGCATATAATAACTATGTGAAGTCCCAGTCACAATTAACTTGTATCAGTTGTGTTAACACAAAGTCATTTGCTAGCGAGTCATTTGCCCGTTATTTAGGGGAGAATCAAGTCTGTTTATATGGCCTCGGTTTGCCTGAATTCTCACCTAGCTCTCATATTAGGCAACTCTGAACCAAAGACCCTCCAAGAAATCCTATTGTGCCTTAAAATTCCTCGTGAATGACTGCACGACTGCACGACTGAACGCAGTTAAATAGCCCTCATTCGTAACTCGGCTGAACTTCTCTTTCTTCATCCCTCTTCACGTTGATAGTCTCGCGTTCTAAGGCAGCAATTTACTTTCAAACGCTTTACAAAATCAGTTCACACCCATCAAACATTGTTTTCCCTCTTCAAATCAACGCGGTTTGCCTTTCTCTTTCTCAACTTCACCCCGCCGTGCAACTTCTTTCATCGTACATCCGTGACTTCAAGCGAAAATCCGCCTTGACACTCGACCTCGAACACCAAATTTCCACGCAACCTAAGCCAACTAATCCAACATGTCTTCTCCTGCTGCTCCGAAGGAAAAGATCTTCCCTGGCATTTCTGCCACTGAGACCAAGCTCCTGGTCCTGGCTAACGTCTGCCTGAAGAATGACAAGGTATGTGATTCGGTTCCGAGTTCCCTCATCACAATGTTCTTACTAACCCAGTGTACCACAAAGATCGACTACGACAAGCTTGCATTCAACGCTGGCATCAAGGCGTCTTCTGCTCAGACGCTCTTCCGAAATGCTAAGCGAAAGCTAGACAAGCTGTACGCCGATGGCAATGCTGATGCCGATGGTAACGGTCCCCAGGCTGAGATTTCGCCCGAGGTGACTCCCTCCAAGCGAGGAAAGTCCAACACGAAGGCGCCTCGCACTCCAAAGACCCCCAAGTCTCCGAAGGCCCTGAAGACTCCGAAGGCTCCCAAGACCCCCAAGACCCCCAAGGGTAGCAAGGCCGATGTCGACCCTGACTTCAGTCCCACCACTAAGTCCGCCGCCAAGATTGCAAAAGCTACTAGTCGCGAGACCGCGGTCGCCAAGCCTGCCGCTGAAACTGCTACTGAATCTGCCGCTGCACCTACCGCTGAGCCTGCCGCCACTGCTGAGGCAACTAAGCTCCAGACTGTGAAAGAGGAGGAAAATGACAAGGCCGATGGAATCAACGAGGCTGAGGCTACGCTTGACCTGGCTGTGAACCAACACCTTCCTGAGTCTCCTTTGCCCTATGAAGAGGATGGCACCTACGAGGAGTAGGAGCAAGAGGACGACCAGAACAAGAATTAATTCCAGGTTCAGAAACCCCGAAAGCACGATATGGAACAAATTGAGAAGCGCTGGTTTTTAGCAGATAGCTTGGATGGAGTTAGGAGGCTACCAAGGGGAATCGTGTGAATGCTCTTAGGGAAAAGCAAAAAAAGGGAAAAGCAAAAAAAAAGTGTATGTACTGGTTTTTTCTCATCTCTCAACCAGGGATACCGGACTCAAATGAAAACCAATCGATATTGCATCTGCCGCTCTATCATACATATGCAACATACCTTTATCTATATATGTTGGCAACCAGGACAATACGCACCTGCAGTCAACCGTCCACCCGTGAAGGACCCCTAAATGTCGCGTCCCTTTCCCGTTACTTGGACGTTTGGAAATAAATTTAGTTAGACGTCACTTCCACGTTGCTTGCATGTTGAGACGTCTGTTGAGTTAGACGTTTATAAGGGTTATAACATATTTAGTCTAAGCAAACTGCAGTATAGGTGTGTGATTAGAGGATAGTGGTTATCATGTACTGCCACGTAGGTAGGTTTGAAATGTGTATCTTAGTTCGGTGTGTGACTGTCTACTTGATTGGACGTTACTTGGAGGTTAGTTGGACAGTCCCAGGACTACGCCAGTGTATAGCCGTCAGTGCGGATATTAAATTTTGACCTTCACACTGCTAATTTACTATTACCTCCTTCGTACGAATTCTAGTAATTAATTCTACCATATTAACTTCAATGTTTCTATAATGTCACTTTCTATGGTATCTTGATTTTATAAAGGTTACATAGAAGTCCATTTTTGCAAGTTAAGCCTTTTTTGGCCCTTTTCTACTATCTGCGTAATAAACTAAGAAGGGGGAGAAAATGTCTATATAACTACATATGGACCTAGACATCTAAAAAGACTATCGAAGGAGACTACTAAAAAAGACCACTAAAAAGACATATAAAAAGACTATCGGAGAAGACTACCTGAGAAGACCACTAGACTATTGCCGTATAAGTGGCCGACTATTCTTGTCTATAATATCTCAATTTCTACAATATCAACTTCTTACAGTGTCATTTTCTGCACTATTAATTTCTATCAATTTCTATAGCCCCTAAAATACATGTATACTAATTTTATGAAATGTTCTGCCGTTTCGTGGACGGAAGTATATGTACGGTCACATACATAATATATACAGAATAGGAACGATGTTCATATGACGCTACAAACGCACCCCGAAGGGCCTCTGGAAGTCAACCTTATACATGATATGAGTATTTAAGCACAATTTTGTAGAGAGAAAGCAGGATTTCAGAGCAATGGTTCCTCAAACACTTTGTACATTGAAGCTGATGCTTACATATAGGGAACCGAACTTTGTGATTTCCAGGTATACTCCCACGGAAACCATGCTCATATCAAAATGTTTCTAGAAAAGTATGCTATATAGGCTTTCGACTTTGTATCTATACATCTATGCTTGATGAATGGAACCTTCGGAGTCTGGAACATGAAATCAATCATTTTCATGCGAGTCGCTTCCAAAGTGGGATCCCTCCAAGTCTTACACCCCTATTTATACCCTGAATTCTCAGGTCACCCTCCTTGAGACTTTCTCTTTCTAAACAATCACTTCTCATGTCCTCTCCCACTTTTACTACTGTTAAATATCACAGACAGCAACCATGTTTCCCGCCCACAAGCAAGAGAAGACCTCTAACCCGGTGAATGCTTTAGGGCTCACCCCAAGCCAGGCAGAGCACCTCCTGCTGGGATATTTGTGCATAAGCCTCAGGCAAGTGAGATAATTTGTTATCTAATCTCATAGTATCCGAGTCTAAAATGAATCTTCTCGGCAGGTCGATTGGAAGAAGCTGGCGGAGCTTAGCGATGTCACGCCTTCCTCCGCTAGAACTGTCTTCACCAGGGCCCGACGCAGGCTCGAGAAATGGGAGGGAAAGAGGACTGCTGGAGTGACTACTAAGGAAGCTGATGAAGCCGAAGAGGATGAGGCTACGGAGGCTGCACATGCCGAGGATACTAAGAATTAGGATGAAACGAGCTGCACCAGTAGTTAGCAAAGGTACTGGTCAAATTCAGGACTATGACCTAGGCTCGAGTTTTTAGGGAGCCTATATGTCTTGTTAAAGGTCAATAAAAGTTCATTCAGGGTGAATAGTACAGTATTCAAAGATTCCATAATGAAATAGTTACAGAAGTTCTATTATAGTCTAGCTCAAATGATATCATATAAGCTGTGGTGTTCGAGTCCAACATCATAATTTTCTCCCACAAATGAAGTGCAAGTAACGTCTCTTCCTCTTCACACAACAGATCGTGTTCTGTACCATCGACATCCTACCACAACCCATCCGTTCTGTCCTTGCAGACGACAATAAATCCTCATTTTATCAAACAAACAAAGATTTTATCGACAGTAACACCCCCGCACATGTTACCAGCTGAGATCATGGCGACCACCCTGTTCCCTAAGAAGAAGTCCGAGTTGGGCAGTTTCACTGCAGCTGAGATCAGATTGATTATGGCCAGTGTCCTGTGCACCACCGGAAGAGTACGCATGCTCTCTGCACTGACCTTTAAAGAATGACTCGAACTGACTGCACCTATAATTTAGGTTGACACGGACAAACTCGGGAAGCTGACTAGCACGAAGAAAACGTCCGCCGCCAGCCGTTTCCCATCCGTGAAACGCAAGCTGGAGAAGATGTTCGAAGACCAGCTGGACACCATAGACGGCCAGAATGACTCCAGTGCTAAGGAAAAGACCCCAGCTAAGAGCCGAACGAACAAGCGTCGTGAGAAAGTCGTGGAAGCAAAGCCCAAGCCCGAGATCAAGGTTGAGGTTAAATCCGGAGAGACTACCGACAGTCGCATGAAGGTTGAGGCTGAATCTGGAGAGAGTATCAACAGTCCCGTGAAGGTCGAATCTGACTCCGACTCCGGAGAGAGTATCGACACTCCTGTGAAGAAGGCCGATACCGATGTTAAAATCAAGCCTGAACCTCTCGACTAAGTGGTCAAAGGTACTATCGTGTCTTCGATACAGTCCCTCCCAAGGGTCTTGACTGGGAATTTCCTACAGGCCTTTTCCTGGGATCCAAGGTATCTGAGAAGTTGATGACCGGAATTACATGACAGAAGGGGTGTGTCTCATGTATCTAGTTAGCCTTCTTGCACCGAGAATGGCTGCAGCATATGTTTGCCCAATGAAAACCCCATTGCACAACAACATGATATGATCACCAACAAATGTGCACAGACGTCTGTGACCTTCTAGTATAAATTGCTCCTTCTTCCCCTTGTCCTCTGTGTCCCTCCAACACAGTCACTTATCCTGTGCTTCATCTGTCTTTGACTCTAGTTCATCAAACAAAATCTAAGGCTAACTACGTACCGGCACATCATGATTTTCCGCACACCCCATAACCCTGAATGGATGGGTATGTCAGGTGCTGATATCAAGTACCTAATCCTTGCACACTTTTGCTATGCCCCACAGGTTGTTACCCATACCTTGAATGCTAGCCTAAACCTGCTAAACACCCTCTAGCAAATTGACAACGTTAAACTGGGGCGCCTTACTGGAATAAGCGCTAAGTATGCTAGACGCGCATTTGCAACGGCCAAGAGAAATGTTCTCAGGTTAGGCGCTCTTGATGCGCAGTTTATGTCGATTGTGTCAGAAGAGGCATACGTCTGTACACAAGGAATATCCGACGACCAGACGGAAAAGAGCTCAAAGTACAAGAAATCAAAGTTTTCGCCAGACGAGTCTGATGAAGGAAGCACAGCAGAGTCTTCTGAATCAGAGACCGACGACTTCCGGTCAAAGGGACTTCGTCAGAACGCTAAGCGCAAGAATCATGCTAACCGCAAGCGCAAGGGCAAGAGCATGACTATAGATAGCGAAAGCGCGGACGAGGACAGCGAGGTCGGAGACGACGAGTCTCCTCTGCCCAACTTCAAAACCCCAAGCAAGACCCAACGCCAGAAAACGAAACAAAAGGCTCCGAAGCACAAAGGACACGCCAAACACTCCGCAAGCCATGGAGCGAGAAAAGGAAGAGACAGTCCTTTCCATACAAGCACCAAGTCCTCATCCTCCCGCGCCGGCCGCCAGAACATCCAACGAAAGCAGGGTCTCAAGCGCGGTAGAGACCCTCACCACTACCAGGATGGTTCCACAGAAGAAAGTGCCGACGAGTCTTCCAGTGCAGAAATGTACGGCTCTTCCCGCACAAGCTATGGAAGAATCAAGCGCAAGCGACTCGGAAAACCAAGTGGACTGGCTGATACTTCCGACGACGATAGTGAGATGGAGGAAGAAGTCGGACGTCGATCTGCTCGAGCATATGCCAAATACACTCCTGTCAAGACCAAATCCCAGGCTGGGAATCGCAAGAAGCTTGGCAAGACCAACGAACTTGCTGAGTCGCCGGATAAGGACCTCGTTGGGGGAGCTATGGATGGTCTTTCTCTGAATTGGGATGCATCAAAGACAAATGGCCGCGCTGCGAAGTCTACAAAGCATGATGGAGAGGGTGACTCTGTATGATGAGAATGGGGAACGCGAGGAGCCCAAGGAAACTCATTCGCATCATGCCTGATGTTGATTGGTTGGTGCTATCAAGCTTGCTAGAAAGGGAAGAGGGCATCTACATGTATGGACTGTCATCAAGCTGGTG